ATATGAAAACCAAAAGGACTCACATCAAGGTTCAAATTTTCACAATTCAACAGAATTATGGTGTAGAGACTATGCTTTTTTATAATCGTCATCTAGAATGGTGCTCCAGGATTGGTGGATTATACGACCCAAATTATTTTTTAACTTTTATACCATTACTTCTACACTGAATTTCATTACAAATATAACCATCGTGTGTTAATAACCGGAAATATCTTTGTTAATCCGTTAACTAATGGCCAAGTGGATAAAATCACAGGAAAGACTTAACAAACGGGCAGGCCATGTGAAATCTTGTAGGTTTCGTTCATGTTCAGGGTAGCCGGAGACGGGGATAAAGTTTACATGTGCTCCAAATAAATACTGTAAATTATTTGTTTAAAAGTAAAAGTTGGAGCACTTTATTATCCCGTTTCGGACTATAATTTTTAGCACTATCTTTCTACATTTAATTGGCGCGTGAAAAACACACATAAAATGTGGGATGATATCCAAACCGTCCAGAATTTCGAGCACGGAAAATTTTACCTGCATCATTCTCACCTTTTTTGGCCCTGTTCACGCGTCTAGCATCGAGATAAGGCCAGTTTCCCACAGAAAGTCTTCTTGAGATACATTTTAGAAGATGTTATAAGTATTGTATTGTCTTATTTTATGAACACAATCTAATGAGATTTAAGGAAATATTCACATCCGCGGAAACACAAAACCACATTTAGTAATCCCACATAAAAAATATTAACGTACAGTATTTACGAACTTTTATATTATTACTTTCCCGGTTCTGTTATATATAACAGGGAAAGTATATCTATCGGTCAAAAAATGACCTCCGCCTTCAAGATTTTTATACTGTATTTTCGAACTCAGAGGACAATGAAACGTCCAGAAATGCAAAAAATTCGAGGATAGTGTGGGCATGTAGAACGATTTTGTTCACCCTATTTGAAGCTAAATAACTCACCTGTTTTTGTCGAAAATTTTTGACATTTTGCCTCAAGGTTTGTTTATTAAGAGAATTGATGCTAGTAAATTTTTGTGGTAAAATATCAACTGGATAGGGAGATAAAGGTGGTCGCGTGTTGCATTTCCAGTAAGATCAGACTTATGACGATTTTATCGGTTATTTGCATTTAAATTTTTTTTTTATAAAACCTATTTCAGTCTTGAAAATTAAGCTTTTTGTCATTTTATAATATTTAAAAATATAAAAAGCTTTTACATAAAATATGATAACAGATGGCGCACCAAAATTTTAAACGTTGCCGGGAAAGTTAGGCAACTCGTTGCTGGTTTATTCATATTTTATGTTGTTAAATTTCCGGCACAGATAATGAGTAATTATGTAAACAGTGCATAGTGTACTTATATGTTATAAAATTCCTAGTTAGCCTTATAAATAAGTTTAATGGTTCATTAATATAAAACAGGCATTAATAAATTTCGTACAGAATAAATTATTTCTCATAATCAGTATATTACTTGATTACATTAGTTTAATTAATCCATCATATTTTTATGTCAAACATAAATAGTTTTCTAAAAGCAGCATTCTAGATACTGTCATAAATTTAAATTTTCCTATTAATTTCGATAATGAATAATGCATAACAAACAATAATACAATAAAGCAAACATTCTTTCTATTAGTTATAGCGAATGGTTTTCTTAAAAGCCAATAAAGTAAATTAGATTTAAAACTATTAAAGATTTTAATTTTATTAATAATAAGCTTCTTATCACAGTACTGTGCATGCTAGCAACAAGCCAGATGTACTATCAAAAATTATGTCAAAATTTCTAGTAAAGTCTTGAAAAAGCAATCAAATATTAAAATTTTGATTCTCTATTTATTTTTATACGATTAAATACACATTGTATTTATGCCCGAAGATTTAATCTGTAGAAGAAGAATCAACTTTCTTAAGGTTAATGATTGAAATTTTGAAATTTACTCCTATAATTGATGAATAGATTATCATTACGACGCTTTGTCTAATTCACTATCCTTTCATTTTGTGTTATTATATTGTTTTTAGAATGCTAAGGGCTCATTATCAGGTAAAGCGCCATTAATACTGCTGGATAAGCGAGCCATTAACGTAGTTTGTTTCAAAAAGAAACGAAAATGTCATCCATTGGTTTTTCTTATCCATCCGTATTAAACTGCTTTATTATAAAACGTACTATAAATTTTCGGTTTTTCTGTATTATAAACCCAAGCCAAATAGATCTTACTATTCATACTAAATCCGTGCATAAAGAAGAATATTATGGATTAAATAAACTAGAAATAATAAGTAATTAAAGTGCTTTTGAAAAATAATTTAATCTGTACGAAATTTAGTAATAATTGTTTTATATTAATGAACCATTAAGTTTATTTATAATTCATAAATTTTATAATATGTAATGGAAACAATATACTGTTTTACATAATTACTTATTACCTGTCCTGAAAAATTTAACAATATAAAATATAAAATATAAAATATAAAAAAATAAATGTTATTTTTTAAAATACATTGTTAAAAATTCAATTTTATTTCCTGAATTTAATTTATTAACAATTGGGTTTTATTTTTAAGGCTTTCGATGGGGTAGTAGAATGCCATATTTGTGACTAGCATGTGGCTGTGTTACCTCTTCCAGAAACATCTTCCTATTGGTTGTATTAAAATGAAAGCGGTTACTAGAGATGTCTTAAGAAATCAATTCCTTCTCCCTGGTTCTGTTGTTGTTGTTATTATTATTATTATTATTATTATTTTAATTTCGTCGTGTAATGGTTTTTTACATGTAGACGTATTTTAACGATTTTCTGTCTTTGTAGATGAGGAGATTAATGATTTAATTTCTAGATTATTTAACAAATCAAGTTGTATATAGTATTTTTAACATCTTTTTAATCCCAGAAGTACGCGAAGAAAGAAGTATTCAATTATTACTTTGTCTTTCTTTTAAATAAACATAATTTAAAATTTAAATTCCGCCTTCCGATTGAAGCTTAGTTCACACACTGAGCGCGATTCGCTAGAGAAAGCGAAAAACAAAGCAAATAACCCGTCAAAGGTTATTCGCTCTGTTTTTCGCTTTCGCTAGCGAATCGCGCTCAGTGTGAACTAAGCTTTACGCATTTTATAATACGTATGTCGCAAATTAGTTATATGAGAGATAATTTCGACTTAAGTTTCTTGTTTCTGTTGAATGATCTCTAGTAACGATCGATATCACTCCAAAAAATTTTTTTAACTCTACATATTTTCTCTAATCAGACCCACCAGTGGCCAAGTAGTTCCTTTTTCTGAATACTGTTGGTTCGGTTGTGGGTTGAGTCTTGCCAAAACCGGTTGGCTACGTGGCGTTTATCAAGTTTTTTCCACGTTTTTAACGCCTAAATAGGTGTTAATTACCCTTAAAAAGACATCCCGTAAGCAGTTCGCTCAACTTTTGCATTGATGTAACTAACAAGACAAACTCTCTAATTGATCAACTACTAATTGATATGACACACTGATAACGCTTATTTCGATGCTTTTTATTCTTTTTTTACTTGCACACATCATTAATTTAAAATGACAAATGAAAAAGAGATAGACAGAATTATTCAAAGCTACACGTTGGAATAAAATAATCGGAAACAAACATAAATTACTTATATTTCTAATAGGAAACAGAAACTCGTTTCTATTTATATAACAGAATACGTATATAACATACATAAGATTTGAGATAGAATCTAATACCCAATAGTAATATTACTTTATATATCGCAGAATAAACACACGAATATACTTCCGATTCAATTAATGGATACAGCATAAATCAGTTTTTGTTTAAAAAAATTACATTAAATGCATCTAGAAAAAATCAATGAACTACCATTGTTGTTCTGTATCTAACAGAAAATAGCAAATAAGATAGAGAATGGATGTTTGTACAGTATTATTTTATATTTTTAATATATTGAAATAATGATTAAATACTTTTTACATAGAAACCGAGTTTTAGAGAAAGTGATCTGATATTAACTGATATTCACCAATTCAACGTAAGTAGCGAACATTTCTTATATATCTAACTGTCTTTCAGATTTTATTTAAACAAGACTTATATTATTTTAAACAGCTGTAAACGATTTCAGTAAAGTACAAACTACAATCATTATGCAAACCACTTTGGAATCGTATCAACAACAGACATGCCCGGTATACAAACTAAGTCCTGTTACTTCTGCTGTTAGAGTATTTGGCATTGATATTTTTGAACCCTGTGAATGCATTAAAGTACAGAAAAAGAATTCTATTCCATTTAAAATTTACACAACTGTTTTAGAATTATTTCTATGGCTGATTGTTGTATTTTTCTTCGTGCAAATATTCAGACAGGATCTATATTGCTTTCGTTTGGTATACATATACAAGAATCACAGGCAATTGTCTTCAGTCGTTAACGTATGTATAGCACTATATATTGCTCTACAATTTAGCATACTTAAACGCAGAAAACTGGATCTTCATTGCCTTAAAAGCAGTTGTGAAGAAGAAGACAATTTGCTGCACAAAGCTCAGTTTAACCTCTTCGCAGGACTTGTATTTCTGTTTTGTTTAATGATTTTATTTGTTGTTATTGCTTTAAAGGTATATTTTGTAACAATTAAGAAATTGAATGGGAATGACTACGAAGCTTTATTGTGTTCAATAGTCCATTCTGTACGATTAATGTATTGGGGTGCACACATCGTTTCTCTTCTTTTCCTGTTTTCAATCCTTTTTACGGTTATTTGCTTAAGAATGAATAAACTGACTACAGATTTGAAAGAACTGAAACGAGTAACGCTCGAAACGAAACCTAAACTGGAAAGTATTTTCGTGAAACACACAGAAATATGGGAAATATTCGAAATGATAAATGTTAGATGGAAAGTTTTCATCCCTATTCTATATTTACATTTTGTATACGTCAGTTGTTTTTTAACATATGCGGCCATCTTTGTAGAAATGGACTATAAATTGAAAATATTAATTGCAACTGTTTCTGTATTATTCACATCTGGAATCCTTATTATTTCATGGGTACTCTCGGCAGTGACTTCACTCGTAAGTATTTTTCTGTTATTTGTACGCCTTGATTGTATTCACTTTACTGAAAGAATTTCATTTTCAGCTGTATGACGATTTCATTTCCGTCGGAAGATTTACTTTTGCCAGTTTTCCTCCCTTATTCAAGTTTAAGGTATATTTATTAATTTTCTATAAATGAAATAATTTTATTCTGTGCAGTAATATGCTTGTTTGTTATCCAGATAATAGGTTTCATGAAAAGATTTCGAGGAATACCAATGGGCATTTCTATGGCCGACTTTATTTACATCATGAAGAATTTTATAATTAAAGTAATGCAGAAAACAGAATAATATTTTCTAATATTTTAATTTAATTTTTTAAATTATGTAAATTATTTATTCAGGTTGTGAGTTCTCTGTATTCTGTTTTCTCTTCGATGATTCAGTTGAGTGGTGTTATGCGAAAGGATAAGACATGTCTTGTTCCTTCTACTAATGTTTCTCTTGCTGACAGCTTAAATTAGTAAACATGAAATTGCAATAATAATACTCTAAAAAGAATTTTACATTATGGATTATATTTTGTAACATTAGGTGTTGACTGTTCATATCAAGCTAACGTTCGTACTGTATTTTTTCGGACAGACTACGTCTTCAAATTAATTTTCGTAAAATTCCAATCAGACGAGATTCTATAATTGACACTTTATATTAAACATTAGTTTGATTTGAAGGAATACGTCAACAAAATGCCTGAGCGATCTATCAACGGCGTTGTTCTCGAATCACTTTCTGTTGCAAAATAGTTTTCTGTTAATGTTACACAAGTGAAGATATTTCAGAGGATTCCACGTGGCCATTCCGTTAAGAATCACATGAAGCACTGAAGTAAAGCGTTAATCTGTGATCAATTAGTTAGCATGTTCAATGGACTTATTCATCTGGCCAATAACAGACCCAAAACTCATTAAAATCTTCAATTAAATGGTATATAATGACTAATTACAAATACAATTTTTAATAATTACGTAAAATAATTTTTCTCCTATCTTACTTTTCACATAGAATTCCAATTGTCATTTGATTTTATGTAATAATACATTTATGTAGTTTAGAATTTGAAGAAATATTAATGCGAAATTTATATTTTATGGAATAATCATAATAACAAATTAGGAAGAAGACGAAGAGATCATAACCCTTGATACATGGGTACAAACTTTCGATTTTATTTTTTACTTCAACATAAATTAGGATTTAGAAGTGAAAGTCTTGTAGTCTCGGGCTTTACAAATACACACAGTAGGAAGAAATTAACAAATGACACAATGACAATCTGTCTTTTACGTAGCTCTTTTATAGTTTAGAATATAAACAATTTCAAATGCAGAATAAATAGGCAGATTAACGATTTTATTATCATTTTTAAATACTTTATGGTAATAATTGTGATGAATTTTTTAAGCTTTGTATTGAAATTTATCATTTACAGAAATGCTACAGAAACATATTTTTATAGTTTCTTAGACTCTCTGATCTTAACTTGCAATTATTTCGAGAAAATAATTAAAAAAAAAAAATTATTTATCGTAGTGAGGTGTATTACAGAAACCGTTGCTTATCAAACACGAAATCGTACAAGAATCCTTGATATGAATATGTGGATTTTCACAAATGCATGTTGTCTTCAAGATTTCAATTACAAATGAAGCAGTTGCCCGCGAAGAACTCAGTTGTTTCACTGATGGTGAAGAAACTGTTTCGTAGTTTTACAGTTTCTGAATATGTCAGGCTTTACGCACAACTTCTTATTTACCTGGTATGATGGATTTTAGCCTTCACTACTGAGTAATCTTTTTCACACAATCTACAATACCACTTCGAAAATCACCAGGCATCTGTCAGAAGCCCTGCGTCAGTTTTTTCAGCGGCACTTTTTTCGAAATTTTTCAAAAAATTTCAAAAAATTCAAGTTCTCCAATTTTTTTCAGCTGCAAAAAATGCAATAAATAATTTTCTTATCGCGCGCCAACTTTTCTCAGGAAAAAAAAAAAAAAATGCCGGCATCTCACAGATGCCCTGCGACCCTTCTCCGGAAAAAATTCCCTAGAAAAACGCGATTGCGAGAATCTCTATTGTTGATCGCGATCATAGTGCGCATCTGTATTATATTCTAGTTTTTCAGCGATCGCAGCTTCGATTCGCTGTTTTGTAGGTCGANGGGGCGGACTTGTTACCGAAAGAGACCCGGAAATTCTGTCATTATGTGATCTCAGAATAAAAGATTCAATAAATAGAGTTCTAATAAAGATAGAATGTAGAAGCTTTTTATTTCAAAGCTAAAAGATTCCTCTGAGTAATATATAAATATGTATTCGATAATTTTTACTTTTCCAGCTGTTATATATAACAGAAGATATATAGCAAAGTGTAGCGCTCGGTCAAAAAATGACCCCTCCCAAATTTTTTACATTTTTGGACTCAACACCTTGAAATTTCGAGTTAATTAAGCAAAAGATTCGAGGTTTTTTCTATATGTATGGATGTTAGACTGTGGGGCGACATGGTTTTGTTCACCCTGTTTGAAGCATAATAATTTCTGTGGTCAACGTGGTCAGAATCGGAGTCAGATGGTTTAACACCAGGAGTTAGTTATTAAGTGTCAAAGTGGTTGAACTAAATCGTGTCTCCATACACATTCTAACACCTTAGGCGTGAACGTCTTAACAGGTTTTAGTGTACTATTATAAAATGACAAAAAAATCTTACTTTGAGAGTAGAGACGAGTTTTATTTTATTTTTTTAAATTTTGAACGCTAATAACGAGTAAAATATTTATTAAGAGATATGACACATGACTATTTTTATGTCTTCACCCTTTCATTAAGACCCAAAATTTAATAGTATTAATGCCCCTTTATACGCAAGCTACAGTGCCACATTTCGTTTCTTAAACTTTACCCATTCTGAGATATTGTTTAATATCTCAGAACAGAAAATAAAGAAATGAAACAAATTAGACGCCAACACACAAACACAATTTTTCCCCTTTTATTAACTTTTTTGAGGGGTTCGGGAGGTCTCCAAACGTGTAGATTTACAAAAAAAAAAAAAAAAAAAACTTGGAGGGTCAAATTTGACGCGATTCCAATACTTTTCTGTTTTATATACATAACAAGTTGGTAAGTAAAAAGGGCCCACCAGTGACCGAGTGGTCTTCGTACCCTAAACATTGGAAGTTCGGTCGTGGGTTTGCGCCGCGATCGAACAGGCTGGCTGCTGGAGTTTTCCGGGTTTTCTCCTTGCCAATAACGACTAAATAGGAGGGCAGTTCGCCATAAAAGTCCTCCCGGAAGGCATTAGTTCCTCTCGCGTAACATCGCAACGGGAAACCACTCTGTATGCTAACTTTTCCTAGTAACGCCTTGGCGTATTTACTAACTACTTACTAATCTGCGCTGGGTGTGGCCGAGGTCGGGAAAACCTGATATGGCACTATGAGATGAGAAGTAAAAAGGAGTCGGAAGATTTTATGACGACTCCGACTCCACAGCCCTGATATATGCAGTAAATGTTAACATATAATAGAATATAACATAACAATTAAAATTTAACAGTAAATGTTCAACATTCACTGTTGACGACATACATTTATTAACACGCGGTAGAGATATTCCTTTCGTGGGAGCTTGCCAATGCTGCCAACATTCGTAATTCTTGGAATCAACGGATTCAAAAACTGCAGGTTGTTCCTTTGTATTTGGATGCGGCCGACTACCCGTCGTTTCTGTGTGTGTTGCATTTCCGGTCATTTTAAGAAGCGGGCAGTTCTTCGTGTGTGTTGTTGTTTGTTGAGACATGTCTTCCGAAGCGAAAGGTACCAGTTTTGTCACTAGTGAAATAGGTTTGGTTGGCCCTATTACGGCACTCACCCTTACTGACAGCCGTCGTCTGTTCTTGTGGTGTGTTCGCATCTTTGGACCTTCTGTACTTCACAACTTGGATTTTCTGTGTATAGCCGGATGCACACATGCGGCGCGGTAAGGAAAAGCGGCAGAATGACGTCACTTTTTCTCGCCGCAGAAGTCGATTTTGTGCCGCTTTTCTCGTGCCGCAAAAGTTGGTTGAATTCTATCTTGTGCGGCAACGCCGCCAAGACGCGTTTCTATCAGCCAATAACAGTTTGTCTCGTAGTCACGTGAGAAAATACAATCATTTGGTGTTTTAATGGCGGAAAGTTCGAGGCGGTTAACTGAGATAACTAAAATCAGAATAACAAGGAAAGGATAACAAATTTAAAACAAATTCTACACAAATAATCATATATAATTTAATTCAAAGAATAAAACAACCGAATCTTACTCGAAATATTTTTCTTTATCGAGATATCTTGATCCACGAATAAGTCTATTTTGTACACCAGTTCTTTCTCGATCCAAAAAAGTATCTCTAATTCAAATCTTCGACAAAATCTTTTAGCTAAATAAAGCGAGCCGTACAAAACAAAATTTGTAAACACGTGGATAGGGACAGTGTGTAAACACGTGGATATCGTTCGCCATCTTGAATACTGAACGCATGCGCCGAAATGTAAGCGGATTGCCGCGCGCGGAGATGCGTTTGCGTCACCGCTTTTCTTTGCTGCGCCGCATGTGTGCATCCGGCTTATCTCTGGCATTCTTCAGCATCCTAACTCCTGCCTCTACACGATTCCCAAGAAACTCCTAGCCCCTTCGTGTGTCAAAATTTTGTGCGCTCAGTGTCTCATTTTTGGATACGGAGAAGTCCCTCTGTCACAAGCCATGTTAGCAAAAGAAAGGTGTCCTATTCACTAGACTAGGTAAATCTCCGTTTGAACATAGGCTTGCCCCCTTTACATACCGGATGAACTAAGGGTACGTTCGTAAAGTCGAACGAGTTAAACGAGAATGACGTCATCGTTATTCTTATTTAGTTAGACTTTTCGAACGATTCGTTTATAACTAAATGGCTGTTTCTAAAATCGAAGATATGAATGTTGTTAGTGCAGCCTTATCCGAAATATTTTTCTTAAATTTCTTCGGGTGGACAGTTATTTCAATCATTTCATCTTTTAATTCACAATTTAAACACTCGAGTAGAATTTGAAACATCGATTTCGTCGGCCGCCATTTTCTTAACGAAGTGAACTAACTCTTTCCTTCGTGAACTTCGTTAGAGTTTCGTTCGAAACGTCATCACCGCAGAGCATGCGCACTGAGCGAGACTACTACTTTTCGAACGATTCGTTACTAACGCGTTTAACTCGTTCGACTTAA